CAGCCACGTTGTGTGTGGCCTCAGAAGAGAACACCTATAAAAAGTCCATTGGTTTGGTAAATGTTATTGAATTCCTGTTATATGCCAGGCGCTGCGCTGGGTAGCAAGGATGTAGCAGTGGATCAGGCATGGTCCCTGGCTTCTAAGAGCTCTTAAGTCTTGGTTGGAGACAGACTGTTTTAATGTGACGTGATTAGTGCAGTAAGATAGAAGCTGAAGGGCTATGGGAGCACAAAGAATGGTACCAAACTAGGGTGGGAGGAAAACAAGGAAGCTTTCCTGGAGGAGAAGCCTGAACTGGGTCTTAAAAGATGAACAGGTATTTGCAGGAAGACTAAGGTGGGAGTGGGGTTGGAGAGAGAGGTTGGGGCCCACATGAAAAGGATCTCCCCTTAGTGTAGTGGGGGAAACCCCTTGAAGGGCCATGGGCTTGGAACTGGGTTCTGGGCATGTTCAGGGAAGCCAGGGTGACCACCTGTTGTGGATGTAGTAGAGGGTAGTCACTACTTAGGGAGCTGGGAGAGCTCACTGTTAAGGTCTTTTCCTCTCAGAAAGTCTGTGAATGTCAAATCAAAGTCAAGTGCTACTCCAGAGAGCAGTGGGCTTCCTGGACCCCAGTGGACCAGGCCTTCCCTCTCACCAACACCATTTCCACTGTCCTATCCTGCCCTGGGTGATGAGACCCAAACCAGTCACCCTACCAGTTAGGACCAGCCCATGACCACCCACCCCCAACCCTACCTTCCTGGCCCAAGCCCTATTGACAGATCCCCCAGAATCTGAAGGAATTCAAGACAAATGGTTAAGAGGATGGAGTTAATAAAATTTGAAAAATTGAGGCCTGTCACTCCACTAAACTTTTTTCAATACCACTGACAGAAACATATTTCCCCAATGAGTGACCTTCCACAGCTGTAGCGGGCAGGCGCAGCCGCAGCAGTGCTGCCAGGAAGCCAGTCTGCTATTTATCAAATATTATAAGCTGGGACACACTAATCTGGAGCAGGGAGAGGAAGGGAGGGGTCCTGCACTATACTGCCTGCGGTGCTCCAGGTGTTGGCCCCAGCCCCAGACAGCCAGTGGGAGGTGACGGATGGCCTGCGATTAGCACTCCCCACCTCCATCCAGCCCTCTCACTTGCTCCCAGAGGTCTGACCCTCTAGACCAGCTGCTTGGCCTGGAGGGGCCCTGGGTGGGAGGCAAGGGAAGGTCAGGCCAGGGCACAGGCCATCCCGATGCCCCCGGAGAGGGCAGGCGGATGAGGCCCAACGTGGTTATTTATTGGAGTGTAATGGTTTGTGGCCGTTGGTCGTGAAGATGAAATCGATCAGTTGTAGAAGTCAGGTTCTATCAATTATTACAGCAATTAGTCAAGTCAGAGCATCAGAGCAAGGGTGCGGGGGCTGGGGGCTGGAGGCTCATATCAAATGGACATTATTCGTGGTGCCCCTGCCTCAGCCTTCCTAAAGTGGGAGCAGACACGCTACCCTGAGGCTCCAGAACCTTGGGGATCTCTACTGGCTTCCTCCCTCAGAAGCGGCTGGGGTAAGGCCTAAGAGCCTCCTGGGCTGGCAACAGGCCCAGCACTGCTTTAAAAGGCATCCCTGTGCTGGCTGGCCCAGGTGTAGAGATGTCCTCCCTGTCCCCATCCCATTCTTTATAAGAAGTGACATGACTCCTACCAGAAATTACTCAGTGGCCAATGTTTATGGCACACATTTTTCATTCTGTAAGCAAATATAGATCACTGACAGCCCTTGTTTAAAGTGGTTAGTCTCACTCTCAGTTCTCCTCTGTCCCTCTCTCACCTTGTCTTTCTCTCCTCCCTCCCCTTATCTTTCCCATTTTTACTCTCTTCCTTATTCCATTTCTCTTCTTCTCTTTGTTCCTCTTGTCTTTCTCCTTTAGAGGTCTCTCCCTGATCACCCTTCTCCTCCAGCCTGTATCTGGACAGAGCTCCCCTTGAGGCTGCCGAAGACACCCTGCTCACTAGGAAGGTTGTACTTCATCCTCTGTGCAATGAAAAGCTACTGAAGGATTTTTCAGCAAGGATGTGTCATGGTCACCCTGATGGGAGTGTAGAAAACTGGGGTTCAGAAAATCTGGGGTGGGTTTGACTCTTGGTCCAAGGAAAGAACCAGCTTTGTGACTTCGGGCTACTTATTTCACTTCTCTGCACCCAATTTCCATGTCTATAGCATGGGAACTTTAATTCCTAGCTCTCAGGACAGTTGTTAGACTTAAATGATGTAATGTATATAAAGTACAGAGCACAGTGCCTGGCACAGAGTAAGTGCTTAGTAAATACCAGTGGGTATTATCAGCACATAAAGACTTGTTTGCAGATGTGCATAGCACTGTAATGGCTACAGGGGGAAACAACCCAAATGTCCATCAGCTGATGAATGGAAAAACAATGTGGTATATCCACACAGTGGAATATTATTCAGCAATAAAAAGAAATGAAGTATATGCTACGTTCATGTAGTAGCATGAATAACACATGCTACAATATGGGTGAACCTTGGAAACATTATATTAAGTGAAAGAAGCCAGACACAAAAGGCCACACATTATGTGATCCCACTCACATGCAATGTCAAGTAGGCAAATCTATAGTAGAAACAGAAAATAGACGATGGTTGCAGGGGTTGGAGGGAACGGGGAGGGGGTGGTCTCAGATAATGGTTGTGGGGTTTCTTTCTTTCTTTCTTTCTTTCTTTTTTTTTTTTTTGAGAGAGAGAGAAAAAACATTAATTTGTTGTTCCATTTATTTTTGCCTTCACTGGTTAATTCTTGTACGTGCCCTGACCCGGGATCGTACCCGCAACCTGGTATATCGGGATGACACTCTGATCAGTTGAGCTGCCTGGCCAGGTTTCTTTTTGAGATAATGAACATGATCTGGAATTAGATATGGTAATGGTTTTACAACTTTGTAAAATAACTATTTAAAACCACCGAATTGTATACTTTTATTTGTTTTTAATTTTATTTATTTACTTTTAGAAAGAGGGGAAGGGAGGGAGAGAGGGAGAGAAACATCAATGTGTGAGAGGTACATTGATCATGGAGGTTGCCTCTAACATGTCCAAGTGGGGACCTGGCCCCCAACCCAGGCATGTGCCCTGAAGGGGGATTGAACCAGTGACCTTTCAGTTTGCAGGCCAGCAGTCAATCCACTAAGCCACACCAGTCAGGGTTGAATTGTGTACTTTAAAAGGTGTATGAATTATTTAAAATTACATATTAATATTTTGTAGGAAATTCCTACTCTAAAGTAGGATTGTATATAAAAGTATGATATTTTTCAATTAATAATAAGTTTCCTTGGTCTGGATCCTACTTCTGCTCTCTGCCCCTTTCCCCTCCTCTTCTTGCAACTCTTCCTCCACAGCCCAGGTAGACAACCACATGTAAATGTTTAGTAAATGCTAGCTATTGTTGCTAAGTTTAAAGGCCTTTAAGAAGCAGAGAGCTTCTGTAGGAATGGTTTTATATCATGATATAAATGTCTCCACAGTCTGGAATTGAGAAATGCTGATTTTCACTATCCATCAACAAACAGTGGCTGGACACACTGACACAGCCTTGTCTGTGTGTTTAGTGTCCCCAGCCAGCCAGTTACATCCTTAGGGCAGAGACCGAGCCTTAACCTTTCTTTACTTCTGGACAACACTTCCCTAGCAAGAAAGATCAGGGAATGTTCCATTAACACATAATTCTTGGCCATCTACTATGTTCAAGACACAGCTTTCTTCTTATGTTTCTCTCTCTTCCTGCTTTGAGAGGAGTACCTTTGGATCAGGGCCAGGTCTGAGTCTTCTGTGTCCACTCATTTAAGGTTTGCTAAATTGAATGGAATGGACAGGTTTTTTTTGGGGGGGGGTGTTTTTCTTTTAAAAAAACTTTAATTTTAAAGAGATGGGAAGGGAGGGAGAAAGAGAGGGAGAAAAACATCAATGTACATGAGAGAAACATTGATCAATTGCTGCTCACACGCCACCAACCAAGGACTTGGCCTTCAAACCAGGCATCTGCCCTAACCGGGAATCAGACAGGTGACCTTTCAGTTTGCGGAATGATACCCAACCCACTGAGCCACACCAGTCAGGGCAGCTTTTGAAGAGGACAGTGAAGTACTCAGACCTGGACTTTGGAAAAGAGATTCTGACAGCATAGGGGTCAGAGTAGCCTTTCCTCCATATCTGCCAAGTCTTTGCACACAGTCAGCACTTTATACAGGCTCAGCTGCTGGCACTTAAAAAAGGGAAGAAAGTAGATGCATGGCCCCTTCTTTTTGTCATACTTAAAGTTCTTTGTCTTCAAATCACAGGAACTAGTGACTGGAGGAGAGCACACTCACCAACAAGTAGCATCAGTAACATCCTCCAGCTGCCACTGGGACAGTCAGGTTGCTGGGGATGGCCACACCCTTCCGGAGGACTCAGTTGACTCTGGCAGGCAGGAAATGCCAGAGAGAAAAAAGCATTAGGAGAGAAGGGCAGAAAGAAGGGGGCCTTTACATTGTTATTTGGGACATTCTTTCCTTAGTAAGGAGCCCTTCTATATATGATTTTTATAAAGGAATGTTCACCTGTACGCAAATGAGTTGGATAATAGGAGTATCTTAATAACTAATGCATTGGTGTTGGGGTATATCAATTTGTGTGTTTGGTACATTTGTTAGCATGTTCAGCTGTGTGTATTTGTGTAGAGCACACCTGTGTGTGTAACACATCTGTGTGTATGGTAGTATGCGTAGTGTTTCTACACATGTGAGAGCCACAGTACTCTGACCTCTGTGTTACAGAGGACTAAGACCTCTCCTTTCAAGTAGCTAAACATGTTTTTCCTACCATTCTACCATCTCATAGGTTTTTGTTGCTCTTCATTTCAATGGGCATTCCTAACACTAAAACCAGGGTTCAAGACCCTCTGAGGTCCCACTGGTTACTCACAGAGCCTCTGATACCCTCTCTTTCTCCTCCTCCTGCCAGGAGCCAATCCCCTACTGAGGAATGAGATGGGACACAAAGCCTTGGATTATGCCCGAGAAGGAGAAGTGATGAAGCTTCTAAGAACTTCGGAGACCAAGGTAAGTCTCAGAGAAAGGAAAGGAAAAGCCTGTGGGCACTCCATGAGGCATTAAATCTTTCATTCATTAAATTATGTCAGGCTTCACACTTCCTCTTAGGTTATTATTGTCTGTTTAAAACAAATCTGACCCCCAGTCTCATCAAGAATAGGAAACTTCCTGTCATGACCAGAAAGAATTCTGGGTCACTTTTTGCTTCTGAGGATTAACCTTCAAATTTAATTTTTGAGGTGATGAATCTTCTAGCTCCTCTTCGTAGGAGGGAGGCTGGTGAGACAAAATCTTTAGCCCAAATACTATTTCCTAAAGCCTCGTGAATTCATTCTGTAGCCTCATCAAGTCATCCTTTCCCGTCACCACTCCTCTAGAACCATTCCCTGACCCCTCCGTTCCACACATGCTCCAGAGAACCCAGTATACAGTCTGGGCTGCCCCCACCCCCCAGAGTCTTCATCTTAACTTGATCTTCTCACCCAAACTTTTGAACTCCCTTAAAACAGGACTGCCTCTGGTCCTCCCAGCCACCGAACTGTAACTCGGGAACTACTTGGCAGAATCCAAGAATTATAATCACAAATCTCAGCTGGCAGGGACCTCAGAAATCATCAAGTCCAGTGATGGTAAATCATACCGAAGCCAAACCGAATAATCAGAGGAAACTAGAGCTGTTCTGGTTGAAGGAGAGATGGACCTGTTCCTTCCCTGGCTCGTCCGTTCCCTCCTGAACAGCCTCCATGGAGCCTCTGCTGTGAGGCAAACGTTTTAAATTTCTGAAATCAAGTGACTTATTTTACTTCTAGGGAAGTTGGAGCCAGGGGTGTGATGTGGCTTGCCTTTGGCCCCAGAGTAAGTTAGTATTGAAACTGGAACTTACAGACTTGAGCAAAGTAAGGTTAGAGGCAGGACTAGAGTAGAAAACCTGTTTCTGGTGCTGTCTTACGCTCTTTCCTGCATCGTGGGGTCTTTTATGAGCAGGTTGGCTGAAGTTCCCTGAGATGATTCAGTGTAACAGGGCCCACCTAGTGGCAAATACTCTGTGTCTTAAGTAAGAGCACTGAGGTCGCTGGACTGGGACAGACAGGATGTGAGTTGTGATCCCAGCTCCACCACTGGGTGACCTCAGGCTAGCACTTTCCCTCATCGAAGCTCGGTTTACCTCTGCAGTGAAAACACTGGACTAAACGGTTTCTGAGGTTCCGTTCAGTATACGGTTGTCTGTGTATCAGTCAGGATAAACATATTATGCTGTTGTAACAACCCCAAATTTCCGTTGTCCAAAACAACAAAGGTTTATTTTTGCCTCACTCTGCATGTTCCTTGTGGGTCAGTGGGGGGGGGCGGGGGGGGGGCGGCACAGGGTGCTCTGCTCATCGCAGGCACTCCAGGACCCGAGTGCAGAGCAACCACCCTGTGGCATGTTGCTGATTGCTTGCCAAAGGAAAAGAATTTTCTGGAATACCTTGCATCTCCAGTTAAGTGTTCAGCCTGGAAGTAGAACCTTCCACTTCTGCTCATAACTCATGGACATATTAATCTCATGTTCTTGCCCAATCACAAGGAGACCAAGAGTGAACCTACCATGTATCTAAAAGGGGAAGAACTGGAATTATCTGGGAACCAGCGTTAACTACAGTTTGTCTCCTTGGGATCCTCATTAACCATCTTGCAATGTTTCCCCCAGAGAAGGAGAGGTGTTAGGAAGGTGGACTGGCTTTTATAGCACACTCTAAGGGGCACTTGGGAGCGGCAAAGGGCAAAAATTGCACAGAGCAAATGCTTCCCTCTTGTTCAGATTTCCCACCCCTAGGAGCAGCCCTGGAAGTCAGGTCAGCTTTCCCAGGGGCCTTAAGGAAATCCCTAAGCACGTTTCAGATAACCTCAGGACTGCATCACAGTCATCCTTTCGCTTTTCAGGCCTAATTACTGTCTTCTGAAAGCCAGCACTTCACTTGGCCAAGAGTATAAATGGTCTGTCAGGTAATGTGACTTAGGACTGACTTTTGTCTGGTCATGTAAAGCAAAAAACAGGCCTTTTAGTGCCAGCACAGGGGGAGGGTTAGGGCTGCCGAGGGACCCTTAACAAAATTTGGCTGCCAAAAAAATGGCTTGATGTAGGCCGGAAGGCTTCTGTCCCAAGTTTAAGAAATGGCAGTTGCATTCCTCTGTGCCAATCAGATCCTTCTAGACCACAGAGGGCAATTGCGGCACTACCTTCTGAGTAGACTGAGCTCTTAGAATCTGTGCAGAGGGGGGTAGTAAGGGGACAGGAGGAACTGTGCCCTGAGAAGAGGCTGAAGGCAATAGGGTCATCTGGCCCAGAGAGGAGAGATTGCACGTAGGCACAGGAATGGCTGTGATTGGGAAGGGAGGAGATATTATTCAGTGGCAAAGCTAGGACAGAGCCAAGCTTAAGGGTGGCAGATGCAAGGAGGAGCTCCCTAACAGAGCTGTCGTACAGTGCAAGGGGTTGCCTGTGGAGGCTAGACAACCACTTAGAGTTAGCCCAGGGGTCCTGTAACTTCTCAACTAGAAGACTGTTTCTCTTTTGTCCCTTCATGTGGTCTGGATTTCCTACATCTGGAATGTCCAGCTGTCCTCTGAGCATCTGCACCTGATCGCTCTGCCATCCCATTGGATTTTAACCAGCTGAACTGCCCCCCAGCTCTCCCTCGATGTCAGCAGTATCGTCTTTCATTTGCTTAGTGTCTGCGTAGTCACCCATTCTTTCTGCTCTGTTATTCCCCTCCAAGCTGCAGAGCTACCTCTTCAAAATTGTAAGGCAGAGTTTCTGAGGAAGAGCACTGCTTTAGACCTGGTTTCTGTCTCCCTCTGCCAGAAAAGAAGCAGCAGCTGCTGCTGCATTCAGGCCCTCTGTTTGTAACATAATGACTCAGGCCTGGAGGGTGCAGAGGCTCCAGCCTGAGACCTCATCTCCCAGCTCTTTGTCTAGACACAAGTTAGCACCACTCTGATCTTATTTTACTCCTCTTCTGTCCATTCGGCATCCTCTGCCACCCAGCTCAGCCTCTTCCACCTTCACCTATCACTCTGTAGTCAAATATGTGCTCATTACAGAAAATTTTAATTGTAAAAGTCATCTGTCCTATCATAGAAAATTAGGAAAGTAAAATAAGAGAATTAAATAATTCAGTACATATTTATAAATGACATCTGTGTGTTACACTCTGGGCTGTGTGGGAAAAAGACAGTTGGTGAAATATTGAAGCAGATCACAGTCTGACAAGGAGACAGGCAGGTGAACTATGTCACCACTGAGTCATCAGTCCCAGGGAAGCCCTGGAACTGTGAAAACCCTGAGGTGGCTTCTCATCCTACCTAGATCAAGGAAGGCTTCCTGGAAGAGATGTCAACTAGCAGAATCTCAATTAAAAGCTTTTATACCTATACATATTGATATTTTTAATTATTTATAATAATAGTAGGTACCATTTATCTAGTGTATTCAGGCACTATACCAGGTGCTTTAATACATATTTTTCTAGTCCTATAACAAATCTATGAAGCAGTTCTTCTGCCATTTTACAGATGGGAAACTGGAGCTGAAAGAAGTCAGGTGACTTACAGAAATCAAGTTGTTATAAGTAACTATTGAGATATAAATCAGAATTTCCTCTTATAATGCTGTATTTACCTTTTCTGGATCATACCTATACATATTCACATAGATGACCTTTTTAAAACCTAGTTGATAGTTTACTGTATACTTGTACACCAAGGATCTCAAACTGGCAGCCATGTTTTATTGTGCCAACCCAGAATTTCTAAAAGTATGAGTGTAATGCTTTAGAGGTTAGAGCATGGACTTTCTAGCCACCTGCCTTCCCATTCCCTATTGTATGTGCTTGCCTATCAGACATCTATATCTCCCACTTGGCTCTCAAGGTTTTTGAATTATGATCCTAGGTCCTTATTTGGAATCTGCTTTTTTTTTTCCCTTAATGTTATTTCTTGAGATTTTCCTATTTTAAAATTATCCATTAGCCTAATTTTTTATTTCATTCTGCCTTTTAAAAGGTGTTATTTATCTAAAATCTCTGTCATTTTAATTGACCTAAATGAGTTTCTCCTCACTATTGGTTTACTCAGTTCTCTCAGCATTCTGTGTAGAGAAGCCTCCTCGGGACCCCCAAGAAGATCCAGAGGTGGATGAAGGTCAGCTCCTGTCCCCTGAGCCGGCCATCTGGGAGAGGAGGATGGGGAGAGGCGGACACTCCCAGCTTTGATACCCACAGACTGGCTTGTGCTTTAGGGGAGGGGTCTACACGGAGTTTGTGGGGCTCCAAGAAAGCATGATCTCCTCCAGGCAGAATGACCAGGTCAGGCTTCATAGAGAAGGTAGCCTGTGGTCTCACTTTGCAGGATTTCCCTAGGTGGAGAGTTTAATACTTAAAGCTTAGACTGTTTTCCTGTCTTAACTAAGTGACGAAGGAGAAGTAGAAATATATCTCTGTGCACATGATGGCAGATAAAATAAAAATATGGAGAGCTATTCCATGATGAATATTCAGCTGAGGGGGACGTGCTGGTGCCAACCCACATCTCCACTCCCAGATCCTCACTCCACCGAGACTCACGAGGAATTTATTGCTCATTTTAATCACACCCGGAGAATGAATTGGCAGGAATATTAGGCAGATAGACCTATCATATATATTTTATTTGCATATCCCAGTGACAGAATCACAAGCACATTTCCTATCTCTATATTTTTTCATTTGCTTCAGGGGTAGCTGGGGATGCAATACTCCCCTGGGCCCCCATTCAAGGCTGCAAGCCTGGGTGCTCCCACCAGAGCTAAAGGAAGGTTTCCAGGAGGGAAGGGGTGAGGCTTGCAGGAGGGTAGGATGGTTATGTTCCTTGTGGTGTAGGGTAAGGAGAGACCCCTCCCTTTCCCTGCCCAGCCTTTCCCCTGCTACACATCTCGTCTCGTTGTGAGTGCCGGTGCCGAGCCCTGTGCTTGGCCCTGGGGGGGTGAAAAC